AGCGAGAGAGAGAGAGACTTTGTGTGTGTGTGTGTGTGTGTGTGTAGTGTATGTGTGTATGCACAAAAAGTCGAGAAGGCTACACACCAAAGACTTCATAATGGTTACTTTTAAGGAGTGAGATTGGGGTACGGACGTGTATTATTTAAATATTTTTAAGAACTATGTTTAATGATTTTACTACTGGCTTACAGATTCTTGCTATACTGCTTTACTCTCCCACCGCAGAGTAATCAGATGGTCTGGGGGCGGAGTGGGGGCGGTGGGAAGGGGAAGGTGCTGTCCCAGAGGCATGGATTCACTGGACCTTTGCAGCCACCCTCCCAGCAGCCATGGAAATAGTAACCTCCTCCTCCCCGCTCCTAGAGGTTAGTGCCTGAGGCTTCAGGATATCCAGAGCAGGGGTTTGAATCCGGCCCTGATCCCAAGCATGTGCTCTCAGTCCTCTGCCATCTTCCCCCAACAGCTGAACTGTCAGAGTGCCGGATACCCTTTCGCTTTGCTATCTCAGGCTGGGTGGGACCATTGCCTGGGGGCTACAGATAACCAGGTATTCCTGCTCCCAACGATACTGGCTTCTTATCTCAAAGAAGAGCCCCATATCTTCTCCTCTGGCCTGGGGTACACTGGGCCCGCTCACCTTGGCTCCCCCAGAACAAGGAGGCCTCACTGGGTGTCCAGCCTGTTGTCCCATATGCCAGGTGGGGACCAGTTCAGAGAAGAAAGTGTAGGGGAAGGGGGGCAGGCACACCTGGGTTTGTGTTCTGGCTTCATTAGACAAATGACTGAGCCTCTCTGTAGTTCAGTTCCTCTTCTTTGAATTGGGGATAAATAATCCTAAACTCACAGGGGAGGTGCAAGAGAGACCTTAGTGCTTATCAAGCACTTGGCAGAGTCTAGCTCTGGGTACGTATTCAGTAAAGGGTAACTATTATCATAATTACGAGAATCATTGTCACGATGATCACCCTACCCTGGCGGGCACTGGCTGGGCCATGCCACCTTCCTCCCTTGCTCTACGCTGTGAATTTACACACATGCCAACCTTTTCCTTTTTGCTTTGTTCACAGAAGTCTTGATTCTTTCGGACAGGGCAGGAATCCAGATGGGGAACTCAAGGTTTCCTGCGGCCTCTGGAAAGCTTCCAATGTTGGGGAAAAGCATTGTACCCCACTGCTCCTGACCCTTCTTGTCCTCCTCCAGCCCCACTACCTGCCTGGCCATGCACCCTTGCCAACTTCAGCCAGGCGACTCCCAGCACATCTGGTGGGGCTTCTGGTGGCTCTCTGGGGCTGCCAGCCTGGTTCCCAATGCTCAGAAGGGCAGCACACCCCCTCTCATCTTGCTCCTGCAGGCACCGGGGGGCTCTGTGACTTCCCTACATGCCCTAACACCTCTGGTCCTGGCATGCCGTGAGGAGGAGGTGCCCAGAGGGTTAAGGGCATGGACCATGAAAGCGAGGGCAGGAAGTGGGGATTTTATGACTCTCCTAAAGGAAAATGAGTCAGAGATTTGGGGCTTCCAGGTCCTATACAGGATATCCCTGCTGGCTACTCCACAGAAAGGGTCTGTGGAGCTTACTTGTACATTAAAAGTTCCCATATGGAATGTGGTCTTGGGAAACAGTTATGCTTATGCTATTTATTTATTTAGGCCAATTTATAGCAGCTGGTATGTCTTAGCTCAAGCCATCTCCTGGTATACTGCTAACCAGGAGTGTAGAAATCTCTACAGCTTGTCTCAGACCCCACGGCAAGGGGTGTAATTGTCAGGAACCATGAAGAAACCCTCCTACTCCTGCCCCGGGTCATCTGGACTCAGACTCTAGGCATAGCCTCCCGGTTGTGAGCACACTTGTGCATGAGTGTGAGCACATCTTAGCCAAGGCTGCAGTGAAAGCAGCCTGCCTGCCCGCGGAAAATGTCCAAAGACTACCACAAAGTGCTCAAGCAGCATACATTCCCAGAACCACAGGTGACCCATCACGAGGCAGCTCCCCAAAGGTTCACTTGATGCAGTGTCATGCGCACGCACGGCTCTGACTACTTTTGGATGCCATCCAAGGAGCTCTCCCTTTTATTAGTATGTGGGTGCCTGTCCCATAGCCCTGGGCAGTCAGGAAGGCCACACCATTATCCTTGCTTAACTAGTGAGCCGAAGTTATCAGAGAGGCAAGGTGACTTTCCCCAGTTGCTGGAGTGCATCCAGAATTCAGAAAGCCTCCCCAGCCCAGCAATCCTCATTTTCAATCCACGGATCCCTTGCCTTTCCAGGGCATGCACGTTGCCGTTTCTGCCTCTCCATTCCTGTGATGTCTCTCTTTCTCCTCCCAGCCCCATCCTTCCTCTCTCTCTCTCTGCCACTCACACACCCCTCCCCCCACCACCACTCATTCACACACATACTCTCTCACACCCGCTCAGAGGCACCGGGACAGTGTGCAGTTTCCTTTCTGCAGCCCCTGTGGTGCTGACCTCCCCAGCTGGCCTGAACAGCTTCCCTTACAGGATGGGAGCTGGTGCTTCTGAGGCCCATCAGTCCTCGGTTTACATTTTATAGCCCTTGAAGAAGAATGAAAGGGAGAAGACCCATCTTCCCATGGGACCACTGACTTCCTGAGAGAACAGAAGCCGCCCATGCTTCGTGACACAGACACAGGGTGAAGGGAACGAAGCTGGCCTTTCTCCTGCCCTGGAGTTCCCTCCGTCACCCCCCGCCATACTTATTCCAACCCCATGTTGGCCAAGTGTCCCCAAATCCCTTATGACTCAGGGCTACCTCCCTTCTCTCGGGCAGCAAAGTGCTCATAGTCCAGACTTCAATGTTCAGAACTCCCCCAAATTCAATCTAATATTTTAGGAGATACAATTTGAAAAGGTGGCAAAATTACGAATGAGGTCTCACATGCACACACGTTCCAATTCATGGAGCCAAGGTCTTCCCCACTGGGCCACACTAGCATGGACTCCGGCTCTTTCGGGGCCTCTGTCCTTTGGTCTAGGTCAGGTCACACCTGAGTCATGCTCTGTGCACAGGAGTTCGTGGTCACCCCTCCAGCGCTATGAACAGGTGCTCAAAGACTAGCTGCCTGATTCCCCAATTCAAGACAACAGTGTGGGATACTCCAAAGGACTCAATTCATGTCATAATCCAGGCCCCAAGTTGGAGAAGAAACAGCAGTACTGGCTTGTCGGAGGGCTCACTGCTAATTGGGCATGAATATGGATGGGCCCGGGTTGCCTCATGCTGAGGAGGCACTCATCAGACTGCCAGGTAGCAGGGGTTTTACAACATTATCAGTATTTACGAATGCAAGACCAACGTACTCAATAAGGCTCTCACATTCAGAGAATTAATTTTGGGCAGCTTTAGTGCCAAGTTAGCATTCACTGTAGACTTTTAGGAAGAAAACCCACATATCTACAATGAGGGGGTGAGAGGGGTTGTTAAGCAATCCCACGGCACAGGGCCTGGTTCTTCCACCTCGGCCCGGTGGCCTCAGGCCTGCTTCATTGCCCAAAGCTCTGGAAGGGGCTGTTCTGCTCTGTCTTCAGCACTAGCTGGCACAGTGTCTCATTATCACCCAGGATGTCCCCATTTTATAGGTGAGAAAATTGAGGGAACAGAGGAAAGTGGCCCATTAACTCCTTTTTCTGTCCATCTGATAGACCTAGACCTCTGCTCTGGAGATGGGCTGGCTGTGTGGGGCCCTGTGCTATCTGGGCCAGGCCCTGATCATGGGACTGGGACAGCAGCCCTGACTCCTGCCTGGCTAGGAAGGACCACAGTGAAGGAGTCACATTTGGATTCCACTCCCAGGCTGCAGAGTCTCGTATTCTCTCCTCCAGAGCGGGGGACGGGGATGCATGTAGACAGTTCTATGTGTACAGTCCTCGGTCTACTCCCAGTGAACACAGACTCCGACACAGAGAGAGACACTCGAGGTTCTCAAACGGCCACCTTGCTATGGGAGCTGTTTGCAAAACGAGCTAGAGGGAAGGCCCTGCTGGAACCCTAGAATTCAGCATGTGTGCTATGCAAATGGAAGCTTCTAGTACCATTACAGGCTTTCCATAAATATCAGACTACCACTACCTCTCACAAAGCCTCACTGGTCACAGAGCAGGGCACCGCACCGACTCTGCCTGGTCTGGCGTTCATTCTGATGATGAATCAAGGCCACCTCCGGTTCTGGTCTTCACGGGAAAAACACCATCTCCCACGTCCCTCCTCAGGACTGCTGCCCTGCGAGTGAGCTTGCTAGCGGCCATGTGCTCTTTCCAAAAAGGGTGAGATGGTATAAAAGGGTGGTGTAAAAATACCATGCTTGAGAATAAGAAGACTGACAGGTGGGACCAGGCCAGCTCAGACCACTGTGCACAGATAAACGCAATGGCCAACCGCATTCTCTCACAGGGCGTGAAGACAGAATGGGGGGCAGGCAAGCCTCAAACCTGAGTCCACTCTACTCTTTAAACATCCTCTTCAAGACTGGAACAGTACTACTGCTTTGCTGAATATCTAGGCCTGGGATAGCAAATCTTTTTAGGGGAAGACACCTAATTAGAGCTATCCAGGTAGTGGCAGAGGCCAGGTAATTAAGAAATATGTGGCCCAGGGTGGGGTGTGATAAAAATGAGGAGATTTGCATTGACAGCGGGTCGTGAGTCAGAGGCCAGAAGAAACCTCACTCGGAAATTTGAGAACTGCAAATGCCAAATTCAAAATGCCAGTGCAAAGGGGCATAAATGACATCAGCAGAAGTAATGTAAGCACGAGGGCCAAAGTTCAAGCAAAACAGATGACTCCTCCTGGGCGCAGCTCTCGTCTGCAAACCTGGTGCTGCATCCACCGCCTGCTAAGGGACCCAGCACAGGCGGGCCTGCTCGCCCTGCGGGACGGGAAGGTGGACATGGGCTTTGCTGTGGGCAGTTCTGTGCCAGGGTGGAAGACTGTCATCCGCTGCTTGCACTGTTCAGACTCTGCTGGGGGCCATCTGGGGTCCTGGCACCCCAGGGGCGGGTCCATTCATGCTAATGGTTCTGTGCCCATCTCCGCCCTCATGGTTCCTGGGTATATAACATTAGCGAACTGAACACCTCCCACAACCTCTAAGCCCAGACGTGGCATTATTTATGCAAATACAACACCCCCAAGTTCTAAATATATCAGCATGCCAGGTAACCTCATCTAACCTAACTAGAAACATGCTAGGCTAACTATCTTTGGGCGGATCATGCTGCAACCTGCTCCCCTTCCCACACTTCTTCCCAGCAGCCCACAAGCCTGGACATGAAAACGTCGCCCCTCTCAACCCACCTCTAACCCTCTAGCCCAGCTAAGCTGCTCTGCCCGGACCCAGCACTTACTTCAGCATGTCCTTGTCCTTGTTGAGGTGCTGAAAGAAAGAAGGCTCACAGATGAGCTGGTTCTCCTGGCACACCTGCTTGCAGGACTGTCCAGGCTCAGCAAGCTTTACCTGCAGGGCACTGAGAGGTGGCCACATCACTTGCCCGTGGCAGAAGTCCTAGAAACGACAACAAAGCCATCAGCCAAGGGACCAAGGGTGCAAGTGAGGATTCTCAGCTTGTCAAGCAGTCCCCCGATAAGGGGGAGCAGCCTGCTGTGAGAGCAGTGAAGGGGAGGAGGTGGCAGCCAGACGGACTTGGGTTGGGAACTGGGCTCGGCCAGAACATGTCCTTGGGCCAGCTATTCACCTTTCTCTCCACCAGCTACCTCAACTGCTAAAATGGACGACGACAGTATCTCCCATACAGGGTTCCAGGATGAGAGGTAATGCACATTATGCTCACAGTCCCGGTGGCCAGTCATTATTATTGCCATCAGCAATCACACAGCCCAGCTATTTAAAGCCTCTGTCCTCCCTGGCCCATCCGGGGGCCCACCTTCACCAGCTGTTCTGTTCTGTCGCTCTAATTCCAAAGACATTCCGGTGTCTACCTAATTTGGCAGTTACCTAAGATGACATTGTTTTGTTAACACTGGTTTCAACTTTGTGAAGCGAAGGAGCACAGTAAGGTGTCTGCATGCATTGCCGACAGAACCTCTCGTGGGGCCATGGCCTTGGTGAGGGCTCAGGGCTTGTTGGTTGAAACTAAGTACAATATCGCACTAATTCAACAGCTAGAGAAGCAGTCTGAGACGTGTGATAGGATGTGAAGTAAACTGGCACCCTGCAAAGAGAGGTGCCTCCAGCATGGAAGGCGTGTGGGAGCTTAGAATGGGGCAAGCCCAGTCACTCCTGGGATCTAGAGGTAGTGGAGGAAACCAGCCCGTCCAAGGGAGACCCAGGGTTGGGCTGAGGGAAGCTGCATGGGACCAGGAAGGAACCTGTGTGCACTGTGATGAATGTACGGCCTGAGAGGCGGGGACCCCGGCTTTCATTTCAGCTACGTCCGGAGTAACCCTGAGTGGGTACCAGCGGTGGGAACGCATGGACCACTGGCACCAGAGCTTGCTCTGCTTGTATGTTGTCCTCTGAATCCCCCAGGCTGCCAAACCTGTGGAAGGTGCTGTCTGTGCAGGAGATTTGAAAAGCTAAATTTAACTCCCAGGGTGAGCTGGCCCCCGGGAGTGCCCAAGGGTGTAGGATACTGGGCTCTGAATTCCACCTGTAGGAATTCACTCCATAGACATATGGGGACACACTGTGCAGAGAAACCTACGCAGGATATCAGAGCAGTGTTGTCTGAATAGAAGCAGAAAATGTGAAACAATCTAAAGATTGCATTTATAGAGATAACTGTTTAAATACACATAATAACAGAAATGTAACCGGTTTCTATGTGTTGACATGGCACATCTCGAGGACACACTGAGAAGTCAAAGTGGCAGGGTGAAGGACGGTGTATGATGTATTTCCGTTTGTGTCAAGTGCTGGGAGAGAAGATGGAGAGATACATATAAACACCCATTTACTCCTGCAAGAATCTCTCTGGTTGGCATGGGTGCCACTTACTAGGGTCCCCATGTATCCTCTCCCTGCTCTGTGTGGATGAAGAGCTGATGAATAATCTCGGAACTGGTGCAGGCGGAGGAAAGGTTTCATGCCCCATTCTGTTTGTCACCTGGAGCGTTGCAGGTGGGGCCAGAGGGTCCCTTAGCAACACAGTGGGTGCAGCCCCAGAATGCAGGCCCGAGCTGCATCCAGGAGAGGCCTTCCATATTACTTGCATTAAAAAAAGTCTGTTTCTATTGCTTTTAAGTGAGTAAAAGAAAATAAAAGAGAGCAAAGTGAAATGCACCCCAGGTTCTGTAGGCAGCAGGCTCAGAGGGAACACCTTGCTTTTTCCTTTACCAGCTGTGAAGCTTTGGGTAACTTTCTGAAGACGATGATACCGATAATTTCTCCCTACCTCCTTTGTGAAGGAGCTAACGCTGATCCATACTGAGAAGGGCAACTGGCATGCAGTGAACACTCAGTGCTGGCTTCTATTCCAGTCTCCTTGAATCAAAGACCAGACTCCAACAAGTAAGGCAAACCCACTGTCACCCCCCACATCACATCCTATGACGAGGGGCTGTGACTGCTTGAGCCTGAGTTTGGAGGTTAACAAACAGAAATCCTTCATTGCACCATAGCTGGGAAACCTAGAACCTGGAATCTTATCAGCTGAAAACCAGAGATTTATGATGAGTTTAATAATTCAGAGATAACAGAAACACACTGGATTATTTAGAGATATCAGGATCCACCTTAATCTTCTGGAAGTGAAGAATGGCAGGAGGGTAAGCAGAATGTCCCGCCACGCAGTCCTGGGCGCCACCAGAGACAGACGGCTCAATAGGCGGGAAGAGCCTTATCTGACTCCTCAGGTTCATGATCTTGAGCACAGTTCATGTACTTGCTAAGGCATGGGCAGCATGATAACTTTGGTCTGGATGCCGTCACTAAGGAGATGGCATGGCTGCACAGAACTGGTGGCACCCTGAATGGGAACAGGGTGTTCACCAGTGGCCAACTTTCTCTTACCTGGCAGGATAGGGAAACTTGCTGGCTGGTTTTGATACTCTGTCCATCCCATGAGGATGGCTCTCATCGAATAAAGAAGGAAAACACAGATGATCAATGTAGTTATTGCTGATCAGAGCTGAGTGGATGCATGGATATTGGGAAAAGGTTAAGTGTTGCTTTTAAATTGTTTTTCTGGCTGGCTAATGTGCAACTTTGTTTATAATTCTCTAGGAGACACCTGATAATGTGTACAGCCATAAAATATTATAATAAAGAGATTTTAAATCCAAAGTACACCAAAGCCTACTGTGTGACAGTATGGACCAGGCGAACAACCAGAAAATCTAGGTCAGGTCATGCTGATTATAACTAGAAGCCAAGTGATAATTTCTCTCTTTGCCTTTTGGACTTAACCTATCTTGGACTAGGCTGAGAAACGAGAAACCCGCGATGGCTGAAGGCTTAAACTCTGGCTTTTAGAGCTTGTAATAAAACCACAGATGCCTTCCTTATAATGACACCTACGGCAGTTAGAGCTAAGGGCGGTATCTCTACACCTGTTGAGTTTGGCAGACCATGAAGAAACTCTGCTCCCTATTCATGCTCAGCCTTGTGCGGCAAGTGAAGGTGAACCTGAAAGGGAGAGAAAGATTCTGCCATGTTAGACTAGGAGGTGATGCGACCAAGGAAGGCGCTTCAAGTCAGAAGGCTCGGCTTCGAAGCTGTTCCCCCATGGTGCTCTGGGCATACTACTCGGTCTGCTCTTGTCTCTGTCACTTGTCTGCAGAGAGTGATGCTAACAGACTTAGGTGACGGAGCTGAGCAGAAGCTTGGCAAACTGCAGGTACTCCTCTAATGCTCATCTCCCTCCTTGCAGGGGTTGCCTGTGCCCCATGCAGGGGTTGGAGGCACTGCAGTGTTGGCATCTGCAGAAGCTGGGGCTGCTCTGCACCTCATCTGAGTAGGGCAGAATGGTACCGTGAGGTCTGCACAAGGGAAGTGCCCTCAACACTATGCTGTGGGGCTGATCTGCCCCATTTGCTCGCTTCTTAGAACCACTGTGGCTGACCTCTTCAAGGTTCAACAGGCGAGCTTGGATCAATTACTCATGAACTTGGGCCCCAGTCATCCTTGTTTGTGGCTCACCAGGGGCTGGTCTGGCATCCTCTTAGTAGTCTGTTTTGGGGACCAGGAGGATTGGGAAATAGTAAAAATAGCAGCAGGGTCGCCTGAAGGCTTTTTGAATCGTCTAGAAAGCTTGAAGGTGATAAAACTGAACAGAGGGAGGCTTGAAGGTGTCCCCAGTAAGCATGGCGCCAGGTAAGGCAGGTGGGAGCATGGGCATCTGGGTTATGATTCTGGCCTCCAGCTGGGGGACTTCATAGATGTCCCTCAAGCTTTATTTGCTTGCTTTCATGTCTAAAATGGAGATAATATCATTTGTCCTTCAGTCCTTAGATTAATTCCTGTGAGATAAAATGAGGTGACTCTTAAGAAGGCACCTAGAGACGTCAAAGATAATTCCAAAGTAGACCATTATTTGCTGCCAAGATCCAGAGGTCAAGTTGAGTTGCCCGGATTGTGTATGACAATTCGTCCACAAGAGCCATTTCTTTGCCCAGCTGCTTACAGGGCACAACTGAAACTGCAAACTCTGTTATAAGCCTCTCCTCGCCTCTAGTCAAGCCCCACTGGGTGCTCATGGAAGGCTGTAGGTCTTCTGTTTCAGTCAGCCTCAGCACAGGATAATATGGCAATGTCATCTTGCCTTGTCTCTTACTGTAAGCACTCATTTACTTGTTCGTTTGCTTGTTCGTTCGTTCGTTCGTTCGTTCGTTCGTTCATTCATTCGGCAAAGTAATTGCTGAGAAGTAGAAAAGCCTAAGGGTTCAGAGTTTGAACTGCCTGGGTTAGAATCTCTGCTCCTCCATTTACCACGTGAGTGATCTGGGTTAGTTACATAATCTTTCTTTGCCTCAGTTTCCTCAATTGCAAAATACAGAAAATATCAATTGCTACTTCATAGAACTACAGAGGGGATTAAATTAATTATAATGTGTGAAGTGCTCAGAAAAGTGCCTGATATAAATAACACTATCTATGATTAGCTCTTACTGCTACTATGTACAAGGGACTTTCTAGGCCCTTGGGGGTGACTCAGTGGAAAAAAAAAAAAAAAAAGTAACCAAACCTCCACCTTCATAGTGCTTATATTCAATGAGACAGGAAAACAAGATAAACAAATTATATATAATACGGTAAAGGTGGTAGGTGCTCTAGAAAGAATGAAGTGAGGGAAAGGAATCAAAACTTGGGGGAGAGGGCGTTCAGATAAGGCGACGCTGAGAAGGTGACATCTGAGAAGAGACCCGAGGAAGTGAAGGAGTGAGCCATGCAAGAATCTAGGAAGAATATTCCCAGCAGACGCGAACCAAGAACAGAGGCTCTTGGCAGTGGAGTGGCGAGCAGGTGCCAGGGGGAGCGGGGCATTCCGTGTGGCTTGAGCAGTGTGTGCTGGGGGCCAAAAGTAGGAGGAGATGGGGTCCGGAGGT